CACCTCTTTATGCTTGGAAAACCTTATATTATGGAATTATCAGAGATCTAGAGTAATTCCTCCAATGAAGCACTAGACTTACTAACAGCCAAAAGAGGAGGCAGCTGCATATTTATCAATGAAGAATACTGTGTTTTTTTTGTGAACAAATCAGGCCTACTCCGAGATAGTATAAAGAGATTAAAACAAAAAGCAGCAAGACTGAATTCAAACAATACCCCAAGCTCCTAGCTCACCCAAAATATCCTCCCTTGGTTATTACTGCTTTGTAGGACGATTACTCCTCCTTTGCCTGGGAGCTGTATTCCTGCCTTGTATAATAAATTCTTTTCAAAGATTTCTTGGAGGCTAACTCACTGACATTGCAAAAGATCAGGTGGCAACCACTCTCCTATTGCAGACTCACCCCATCTACGCCCATAAATCAGCATGAAGCAGTCAAAGAGACACGTCTGTCCCTATCCCCCTAACACCAAGAGTCTGGAATGAAGGACATTACACCTGATCTACAGAATGGCATTGCAACTACCCACAATTGACACTGAATGGGGTCCTGCTTGAGCGTCCTATCTCCCTGGAAGCTTGGGTCTTTGTTACACCTGGAGACCCCCCCCCCCCCGCTGAAATTCCAGGTTTCAGGAAAATCTCCATACCCCCACCAGCTCATTGTAAACTCACCCAGACCACACCACCTTAAATACCCAGTCTGTAAGAGAACAGACAGGCTCTTGGTTTCCTTTGGTGACATAAGAGTATCCCCGCCCAGGTTTACTCTCAATAAACCTGCCAGCCTCTCTGCCCTTGTCTCTTTCTTTCTTTTTCTTACACCTCCCTTTTCAACAGACCCATCTAGACAAGATGAAAACTATTCAGTGGGGACTCTACCTTCCCCCACACACTCTTAAACTGAACTCCCTCTTGAAAAGTTGTGAGCCAGTCACTTCGTGGTTTATCGCCCTCTCATCTTAGGTAGCCAATGTCTAAGTTGCCTGTCCCTATCTACCCTGTATACAGAGGGGATAGGATTGGTACTTGATGTGAAGACTCCTTCCCTCTGGGTTGGTATTTTGAGCTACTATATCCATATAGCTAGGAGCTCTGGTAGCGTAGTGGTTATGAATCAGGCTGCAAACTGCAAGGACAGCAGTTTGAAACTACCAGCTGCTCCACAGCAGAAAGATGAGGCTTTCTGCTCCCGTAAAGATTTACAGCCTTGGAAACCTTGTTAGGGTTGTTATGGGTTGGAACTGACTCAATGGCACTTAACAACAACAATATCCATAAGTATAGGTCAAGTCCATCAAATTGTAGCAATTTACACTCCTTTCCTTCATCAAAAAGGTTTTTTTTTTGTTTTTTTTTAAATCTTCCTCTAGTCGAGTTCTGATTATCAAGCCATTGAGGCTAGGTCAAATGGGTACTATCTGCAAGTTTGGGTGTTCTTGTGCCTCTCCCCTCACTTTTCATATCAGCTGGATGCTTCACTCTCAGCTCTAGCCCGCCGTGGTTATGTCCTTGTCCATGGGCTCAGGAGTCCCCAGGTCTCACCACACTTCGGATCAACCAGCCCTTCCTCTTCTCTCTCTCATCTCCAGGTCAACAGGAGACTATGGAACATGGTTAAACTCAGCCCATTTCTTCATTGCTGCCTTTTCCCCTCCTCCACTCACCAGCAGACCAACGTGGTCGCCACATGCCTGCTCATGTGTTCCCTTT